GTGAGAAGCCATCTATCTATACTATCATCAGTGAGACTAGTGCTTGTGGACCCAAAGCCCGAAGTGCTTGGGCGGGCCGCAGGTGGGCACTGCGCAACGCCTGCGTTTTGGGGGTTTTAGGTAGGGTCTGTATTTTACAAGCAATGGGATGAGCTCTGTGATTTCTCTGAATCTGTGGGGAAATACCACCGAGAACACGATTAGCTCCATTCTTTCACCTACGCTGTGGGAAGCTCTGTGAAAAAAGGGAAGTGACCCTGATTATCTGAAAGTGCAAATGCCCCTCTTTGTTTTAAAGTGGTTAGTCTACGCGTTGCTCAGTCTCTTCCAATCCCCCCGAGGCTATGCCTACATGTGTGAATAGGATGGGGAGACGTGTTGGGGCCACGTCAATCTTGTTAGCAACGAAGGTGCAATAAAATAGGCTTAAACACTCAGGAGAACCACAGGAGGTACCTACGGACTCTGTTACCTGGTAAGACCTGTCCTCACCAGCTGGATGAAGCCAGCACAAGTATGCTAACGTGCAGTCATCTCGTTTTGCTACGCAGACTTGCTGGGGGAGAGCTTGAAGTGCAGAAGTGTGAGAAGTCAGAGAAAAGCTGCTGGGTGTTTGGGTCAGGGTTTTTACGACATAGTTCGCTGTGAGCTCAAGTGATCAGAAAGGAAGAAATTAGCAGGAAAATTCAGTGACTCAGAGGGTGTTTTACTGCAGGCCAAAGCAGTTCATGCTGGCTGATGATTTAACCCCTGCTGGGTTTGCATAGCTGAGTATTTATGGGCAGATTTAATGACAGCATCCTCCTCAGCTCAGGGCTAGGGGTGATGGTGATTGAATATATGTTTCCCTCCTTCCGCAGGTCCCAGACCACCAGGCTAAAGGCTTGTCTGGGCTGAGGGCGTCTGCTTTGGTGAAGCTGTGGCACAGTGCAGAGGAGAATACACAGGACAGAGAGAAGGGCATGAAGGAGCTGGCTCACAGCATGGGTCTGAAGAGCTCTCCTGGGGTGGGAAACCCTTCCACCTAGCACTAAGGTCACTTCTTTATATTTCAACAGACATTACATTTTCCAGAATGGAAACATTAGTGGGAAACGGTGCTTTAAGAATGGGGTCTCCTTCCTGGGCACTGGAACCTCTAATCCCCTTGACACCCCTGGCTGACAGCTTCTAGGAACATGAGCAAAAATCCCTTACGTGTACATGCTGTCCTGCATGGGGACAGATGTGGACAAAGCTGGGGATCAGAAAAGTAACTGAATGTTTCTGAAAGCTGCAAACACTAATCGTCGGAGGGGAGATTAGAAGTGGCCAGCAGAACAGAAGCCCTTGATGGACAGAGGCACTAAAGGAGCCTTCTGTTTTCAGACGCATAGAAATGGAAAAAGTACTCTGGATAATCCTGTGTCTATGTTAAGGATGGACTGGAGATCCACAAAGGATCCATTTTCAATGGAACTTTAGACTTGTTTCCACTGCTTTAGTCAATAACGAGCACAATTTTGGAAGTGCAACTCGATGCTATCTTAACGTTGCAGCGTCAGCGCAGGCAGCAAAGGTCCTCGGTGGTACCTGGACTTGCCTGCAGAAAAGTTGCACGCTTGCTTGGCTGTAGCTTAAAAAGGGTTGTGGGGTTTTTTGTTGTTTTTGTAAGTCAAGACAAATAATTTTCACTGTTACTTTACTACTTCTAGGAGACACCACACTGAATTCTATTCCCAGTTACCACACTGACATTGAAAGAGGCTAAAGGGCAGTAACCGAGAGGCAAAATCTTGAACAATCAATGCAAAAAGAAAAAAACCAACCCAACAAACAGCCCTTTTCTCTATCTGTTGGTAAGGTGCAAAGCCAACACTACCCATTTAGTTTATGTCTAATGGACTTAAAGAAGGCCAAAAATTGGTTTAATGCTGTCTTAAGGCACCTGGTCTAATATCATTACATTTTTCCCTATCCAATAAGTAGTGCAAATCCTAGTATATTGCTGAAATCTGACCTTGCGCATCATTAAATCGATTTGGAAGGAAGCCTGGCACTGCATGAGTGCACACATTTCTGTGCAGACGTGAGCGTTGGGAGGGGGTTGCTTCCAGAGGGGGCTGACTTGTGCCCCACAGAGGACCCTCATTTTGGGATCAAAAACTTCTCAAAACACTGAGAGCTGTGTTCTCTCTTAATCACCTGGATAAAGTTTCCATTAGTTTAAAAAGCAGAGTTTTAAGGTTTCTTCTCCTGCTGTCAGCTGATCTCTCAGCGTCTCTCCCTTGCCTGCTGCAGCGAGCGGTAGTTTAAATGCTTCCTTTTCAAATGCACGCCAGCCAGCTCCAGAGCAATACTTCTGGGAGGTGTGGTACAACAGTGCATGAAATAAGCGGCAGTTTATACTATTTGAAAAATGTTTTTCTGCTTCACCTCAAACAAAGAGGATTGCATTTTCCATTTCACCTCCTTCACGGCTTTTCTTTCTTCCTTAAGTATTCTGTGACAGGGAAATTACCATGGTTTCCCATTTAAGAGGTGGAGGGAACAACTGAGATAATCTAGAAAGAAGTCTGTAACAGGCATCCACTGACACAGAGCAGGGCTCTCGACATGTCAGGTCAAGCTGTTGAGCCGTCAAGCCCTGCTGCAGGCACTGAGACCTGTCCTGCAAAGTCCGTAAATTTAAATGAATAAATAGTTCAGTTGAATGCAGTGGAAGTATTCCTACTCCTGAAGGGCTTCACTGCTTTCCAGGTATAACTGATGCTCCAAAACCAACTTGAAGCCCCTTCCAATGCTACTGTTGTGCTGTGGGAGGCTGCGCGTGCAGGGCAAAGGCAGCATGCGGTGCCTGCAACCTCCTGGCATAGGGACACCCGTCTGCCTGTTCCCAGCCCCGAGAGCTGCACCTCAGCCTCAGCAACACAGCCCCAAGTGCCTGCCAAGGTCTTTGGCAAAAAAAATTGTTGGCAATATACAAAAAATCAGTCACTAGAAGCCAGCTCTCAGGGATTTCCTCCTACCGCCCTCTTCTGAGCAATGCCACCAGCTCCCTGCTCCGGCAGCCTCGTGCCTCTCTTGGGTCGTGGGCACAAGACAAACCACAGAGTAAGAAAACTAAGAGTTTTCAGCAAAACGTTCAATGCCGGTATTTAATTTAATTTAATTAATCTGAGACTGGGCTATGATTACCACAATCTAGGACAAAAGAAACAGAGCTACTAATTTAATGACCCTATTTGTTGTTTTTCAGATTTCATGTCTCAAGTAAAACAACCAGGCTTCACTTAACTTGACGCTTGGGGTCTGACTGGATTTCTGTCTGACTCGAGGACTTCATCTCATAAAAAGAACTGCCAGTGTTATAGCATAAGCTTGTCCTTCATAAAAGACATGCTGACTGGTGTTTTAGGAGCTAATTAATTTTATAGTCAGAGAAGTCTAAGATAATAGCCCCTCCTTTTTCATCTCAGAGAGAAAGAGAGAGAAAGAGAAAGAGAGAAAACAAGAGAGCAATTGCTGTGTAAGAAGTAAGTATGGTTAGGCATATTATATTTGTCAGGATGCAAGTCCAGTGATTTAAGTGGGAATACTGGTAGGCATGCTCAGGCACCTTTGAACTGTGTCACTTGATGACTCAACAGTACAATTATTAATTAATTAATACCCTAATTAATTAATAATACAATTAATTGAACAGCAAATAATAATTAAAACCGTTTTTGTCGTGGCCATCATGCAAGTCAGTTTCTCTAATTCTCCAGTTGCCGTAATCTCCGTGGTTGCTTCTGTGCTGAGGGACAAGCATGCAAGTGGTGAGGGGCGCATCTGCAAAACCGAGCTCGTGGCAGCGTCCGCTACTGCCTGAACTACACGTGCATTGTGTGAGAGACGCGTTCCCCGGGCCCGTTTTTGGGTGTGTGCATACTTTGAGCTTAGAAAATCTGGCCAGGAGAGTTTTTAGAGAACATCTCAGAGGACAACATAGGAAGATAGTAGAGAGGAGAAGACTAATGACAATGGAGAGACACAGCAAACCAAGGAGTTTACAGTCGGCCTAGCGAACCACTACTGGACCAGCAAAGCCAGTAGACAACAAACAGGTGAGGCAGAAAGCAAAGAGCTCCTTCAACTTTTACCAAAAACAACCCAATGCCTGTACAGAGCGGGGACATATCTGCCTGGAACTGACTATAGCCAAGAAGTGATGAGTTGTCTCAAACCCCATTTATAGGTCTAGCTGTGCCACGGTACTTTGGTAACGAATCCGTACGTCTACAACTTTGTGAAGCTTTGGAAAACTTGAAAAATGACCTCTCTGACTTTCCCTCCGTATTTACTATTTCAAAACCTGTAGCTGCAAGAGTTATTGCGAGAGATAATTAACGCTGGCTGTTTCGCCAGTTGAGAGACTGTTTAATATCTAGCATGGCATTTATTAGTTGGCTGTAGCCTGCCTGGGTGGGGAAATGAATCTGACATTAGAGAGATATAATGTCTTTACTAAGATACTTTATTTCCTAGAGCTGATGCTACTGTGCTGTCCTTAAAAAGTTATACGTAGCCCCAGGAAACATGAGTATCCCCTTTCCAAAAGCAGAAAAGGGGTAGATCCCTCACCATCTCCAGTGTTTTAGCCATCTTTCTTTCTTTGCTAATGGGAGACTTTGGGAATTAGCAGAACCCCTACACACCTCCGCACTCGCTGCCGTTTCAGCCTGAGATAAACAACTGAGATAGATTTCTGCCCCCGGGGACAGCTTCTGGACATCAGACTGGAGACACGAGATCAAATTCATCTCTGGTGAAATACCACTGGCTTCAACCACATGAGACCAGAGATTAATTTGGCCCACAGATACATTAAGAAAGGATACAAAGCACAAACGGTATTTTATAAAAAAAGAGAAAGGGGAGGGGGAAATTCAAGGGGGACGCTGGATCCTAACCCAGCAGGATTCAGCCCAGCCCGCTCCACCCTCACATCACCAGGCACAGTGCATGTTGCCGGTTACCTTTTTGCTTACTGACTTTCTTTACTGTCATTGCCGCTTGCCGCTTTTGATTTTCAGAAATTTCAAAGCCTGAAAAAGGGAACACGGCAAACACAATTCAGAAGATTGCTTACAAAACCGCTTTATCTTTTGGGGAGGGGGGAATGTTCTGCACTGTTTGGCGAACACAGAACGCCCTAGGTGGCAAAGCATCACCCAGTGAGCTGTGTGTACGGGCAGGTATTTTACTGAAAAGCAAATCTTCCTTGAAAGGGCAGGCCTCTTTATAATCTCACTTGTGCAGGGGCTGTATGAAAAGTAAGATTAGACCCATTATTTTTTATACAGTGTCATAAATATGCCCAGTGCTTTACAGCTGAGCAACACAAACTGAGCCTGAACTGACGTTGGTTACTGTCAATTTATGGGCTGATGCTGAGGGAAGGGCACGGCTGATAAGTCATTGACTTCGCTGCCCTCCTACCCTACACGAGGCATGCTTAACCAGAGCAGAAACGATGCAGCCAGGAGACTCTGAAGTCAGATGGCCAAAGACTTCCTTCTCCCACAACACCCACGGAGGTCCAGGCTTGAAGCTATGGGCAGAATTTGTTTATTGAGGGCCAAAAATAACAGTAACTGAATTGGAAAGAGACCTATTTATGACTATGAGAGCAACCAAGGACATTTGAACAAGGTTGAACTGTAATTCTACTACAAAAAAAATGTGGGCTTCTCCAACAGTTGGGGCTAAATTAAGCATTACCACCAATCTCCGTTCAGATTCATTTCATATTCCTCACCTATCTTTTCATCTTCTTTTACCATCTTCCTTTCTTCTCTGAAAGCTCTAAGCCATCGTAACTTCTCCTCCAGTTTCTTGGCAAAGAATAAGTGCATTTCCTCAGTCTCCTTGTTATGAAGTTTGAAGGCATTCTTCATGCTGACATTGAAGTCGTCATCTCTCCCGTCTTCTATATCCACCACTTCATATTTATCCATGTCTATGCGACCTTTGTAATACAGAATATCTCTTCGTATCAGATCCTACAGAGAGACAAGGAGGAAAGGGTTGATCGTAAGATACTTACAGAGCCTGAACTCATCAGGGAATTCATGGGAGGGCTGAAGAAAAGAAAGAAGTAATGGTGAAACATGGTCAGATTCTTCAAGCCTCATCTGCTGGGAATACATTTGCTGCTGGCTAAACAAATAGGGTACATCAGAGGCATAAAAGAACAAAATACAAATCCTCATGCTGCAAAATTTTGCTTGTAGGCATGAAGAAATGCCTTTGAGTAGGTGACATACTGCCATCATTTTCCGTGATGGGAAGTTCTGTTCCATAGGACGAGAAACCGGAAAACACAGGCCACTGGTCTGATGGGATTCCTGTGCTGCAAACGAGGCTGTGTAGAAGCATAAATCTTGAGAAATCAGCTCGGGCATGTTTGGCAGTGCAGACTGGGTAGTGCAGATCTCTGTTTTCTAAACACATTCTCAGATTCAGGGGAGATGGGTCTCTGCCCCTTCTCCTTGGAACCCATTTCCCATTCATACACAACTCATTGGCAAGAAAATCACCCTGATTCTCAGTTCAAAGAACTCCTAACCTATCTTTGTCCCATTACGCCCTGGCTTTAACCTCTTGATCCAGCTTAAATTTTTTCTTTTTCCCTCCTTGATGTTTGTAACCTTTACAACCAAACCTGTTCATCCTCATCTCCTTTCTAAGTTGGTTATCCCTGCCCCTTGTTTTTCAGCAACAGCTCATTTCTCTACGTTGGGAAGGGAAAAGTAAAATAGTCTTAATTATGAATTTTTCACAACTCACGTGAGAACACCCACAGCTCCGTGGCTGTTTGACACGCCCAGCGCAACCTCCGCTCCGTGCCGGCAGCAGCCTGTGCAGCGGTACTGCGTATCGCCTACCATGATCCCCCCTGCCAAACCACGGAGGGCACGCGGTCACGGCAGCTGGGAGACAGCGGGAGGGGGGGGGGGGACTAAAAAAAGTGTTTTGAGATCTATCGTGTCAACTGCTCCACCATAGATGTGAAATTGTGGGTGCTGATAAACTGTAGTAAAAACCAGATAATTTCCTGTTTTCCTCCTTACCCTCTTCATACTTATTTTGGCTTTGCCCATCAAATTTTGTACTGCCTTTACTAGAACTATTCCCGATATATACTGGTGTAAGAGGAGCACTGGCCCCACATCTCTATGTCTTTTTAGGAACAGATAACACAAAATGATCATCAGAAAACAGAACGTTAATTACTTAGTCATGACCACATAAGGTGATTCAAATTTCAAGGCATACATATTTAAAAAGCCAAATTTAGCAACACACAATCAAGATTTCCTTCCTCTACCCACTCTCAAAAGCCAATATTTAGGTGTATTAAATTAATTTAAGTACTTTTTGATTTTTCAGAGTGCCCTAAAGATAAATGCTATGTCAAAGGATTCATTTAAGAGGAAAAATAAAATCAATGTACAGCATTTATTTACTCAAATAAGATTTAGTAGTGAGGTTTTTTAAAGATAAGCAGTAGGTATTATTTTAAACAAATCATTAATCTTGGAAATAAATTGTACATCATGATTTTTTTAGCAAACTTGCTCATGGATCTGCCAGACAGCATTAACTATCATGAGACAGGGCACTGTCCAGAAGCTTGTAGTCTTTAAAACCTGGCTCCTTCCTCTGGAATGCTCTTGGGGGGGGGGAAATCCATTAACTAATGTCTTGTACAAATATCTCCCTCTAGTATGTAGGCTTTGACTAGTGAAAAGGATATTTCAGGCTGAATATGCAATAGAAAATCTTTCCTGTTTTGTCCTAACTTGGAAAATTGCTTCTTTCCTCTCCCTCTGTGCCCAGTGAAGTGCTGAGAAAAGGCTGTTAAGCATCACACTAAACTTGTTCAATTAAATCAATACTGTGCACTGTGTTTAAATTTGAGTCTTGGACTAGTTCTTAGAAATAGCATCTATCTTCACCACATTCTCAAAAAAACTTGATAACAAATCTCCTAGGAAAAAAGATGTGCTCCTTAAATTAGCTCTACCAGCAACTATTCTTCTTCCCCGACAGGGAGAACCGACTCACCGCTGATGAAAACTTCCAAAACACAACACCGCACAGACTGTCCTTGTGAGTGAGATGGGTGAAGTAGGATCAAACGTACTTTTCTATGCAATATTCATGATCATGTAGAGATTTGTTCATAAAAGGTATTACAAGAATAAATAATCACAATCCTCCTTCTCACCTGGCTCTGAAAATACAAGGCTCTGTGCATTAGCTTGTTTCTTACATGTACGGAATACATTTTTTTCCTCTCTTATCTCTCCAATTTTGATTTAGAAAACATTACAAACTATTTTTAATAGCTAATGCTAAGTGAATGTTTTAACAGCTTTGTGCTGTCATTATATTTCCAGAGGACAATACATCGGGTTTGGACATGTCTGACTGAACTGCTCCATACGTTTCCCCTCCAAGGCTGCAGCAGGAACAATCGCTGCCTCCCGCGAGGCTTCTGCAGCGCGTTTTAGAGGCTCCCGTGTTTTGCAGGTGTTGCTGAGCACTGGATGTGAAGATAACGGTGTTGCCTAGGAGTTACTGAAGGAGCAATGAGGAGATAATGGAATCATACGAGCGCTTTTGGAAACAAAATGGCCCCAAAGATTATTATTGGTGGTGAGAATGCAATAGCGGGAAAGAACAAGCTCAGCTATCGAGGCTGTTTGCAGAAAACACATGAAGAAGAAACACCGCGTTTTTGTCCTTGAGCGTTAAGTAAGCACACGGGCGAATGAGGGAAAGACAATAAGCGCAAAGCTCCTGCCTGCCGCTTTTACTTTCGTTTTGAGAAGAAACTTCAATAACGAATCTAGAAGAAAGGAATCATCTTTTCTCCCATCGCCCTCCCCCGAGCTCTCAGCCTCCAGCTTGGCAGGAACTTTCTGGTGGAGAAACAGCCCCTGGAGTGGGGGGAGGCCCAGAGGAGAGAAAGGTGCTGCCATGGAGGAAGATGAAACCATTCAAAGAGGTACAGAAAAGGTAAAGAGCTCAGAGCGAGTCCACGCCTGACGTTACCCGAGTGCAGGTCGCTGCCCTGTGCCAACAGTGCATTTCCTTCGTATTTCCACAAAAGAAGGACCATTCCCCACTCGTCGACTATAAACTCCAGCGCCGATACCCCAAGTTTTTAAGAGACCCTTTATTTTTCACAGAGTGGTAGAGCACATAAACATCTCGGTGAATAGCACGCGTCTGCACATGGAAGACACTTCGTACACACCTGGTTTCGAGGAAGTTCAGCCCATATAGCAGATTAAGAACTGTAACTGGATAATGTTATTTTTAATAGGTTAGGCATTCCCTACTACCACTTCTCTTTTCTTGCCCTCTTCTTGCCAACACTCAATAAATGGACGTTATTTCCTAATTGACTAAATTTTAACACCCACAGTATGGGAAACGATAATTATTTGATCCGTGGATATTTTATCACATATGTTCCTACAGCTCTTACAGAGTAACATATATTACTTAACTCCTTAGTGAAGCACTTGGCTTACACTGTAATTGATTTCAATAAAATTTAGGAATTCGTCTGGGCAACATGAGAGACGTACAGCAAACCAGGCCAAATCTCTGTTTTAAGGAACTTTTTGTGTATGTGGACAAGAGAATAAAAATTCAGGGAACACGCAGGCAATGAAAGCAATGCTGCTTTCTGTGATTTCTGCAAGATGCAGACAGAAAGCCCGTAGCAGTGTCGAGAAATGAACCTTGTGCTGTACGCCATTTTTATCAAGCGCAGGACTATCTTCTTTCCTTTCTTCGAGCACGTAAGCTGAATCAAACAAGCACGCACAAGATAAAGGAAAGCAGATGTGTGGCTGAGGGTGAAAGCGGATTGTTTAAACAGACTGGTGTAAGTACTACGTGTCAGAAGGACAAAGCAAATACGTATATACAAAATGGAGATTTATCAGCTATATAAATAGCCACACTGTCAAAAGGAGCTCGGGCTTAGGGGAGGGCAGAAATGGCAGCTGGGACAGGCTGCTGCTATTACTCCTGATTATCCCAGGGATCAAATACGAGAGAATTAGGAAGAAATTATTAAGCTATAGAATTTACATTCGTTTACATGCTGGCTATATTAGTATAGTATTATATATTATCCTGTCCATAGTTAAGCCAGGATGACGACTAGCTGGTTTACGCTGTCCAGTTTTGAATGTCAAACAAAATTATTTTTTGTAGTTAAATCAGGTAAGTGCAAGAAATCATAAAAAGAAAAAAAAAAAGACTCTCAAAACCTGGTCAGTGGGGAAAGGCCAAAGAAATGGAGTTGTTTAATCTATAAAGGACATAAATAAGAGGGAATGTGCTATTGGTATTCCAATATGTGAAGGCTGCTTCTCTTCTAAGGAGGCTGGTGATCAATTATTCTCCATTTCGATTGTGGCTTGTCTTAATTTACCACAAAGGAGAATAGGATTAGGTACTTGGAAAAAAAAATCTTTCTAGCTCTAAGAGTAGCTGAACAATAGAACAGACAAAATAGGGAAGTCTGGGGGCAGCATTCCTTGGAGATTTTCAAAAATAAGGTTAGACAAACATCCATCAGAGATGATTTGAGTTTACTTAATCCTGCGAACGGAATAGCTGATCTCCTGGGGTCCTTCCCAGCTCTGCATTTTGATGACGTCTGAGAGAAAGGTGACAGATGGAGGAGAAAACGGGATGAGAGCAGGTAGGATTAGTACGGACTTCAGGGGCGGTATGGGAGAAGCCCCAAGGCACAGAGCAGGACAGCAAGCGCGAGGAGCGGTGACATGAACCTGCAGTCTCTGCAGAGAGCATCCAGACTGCATTGCATGCCTCTTACGGAAATTGATGCATCTAGGTCATTTGCACTTATTTGTCTAAATATGATCTTTTTTTACCCTACAGCTTCTATGATTTCCTTTTCTTTCCCTAGCTGAGGTTAATTAAGCTCTTCCGAATAACGCTCTGCAGT